CTAAAATGAGGGGGCAATAAAGGCACGAAGTGACTGGCTTTCAAGGTTTTAAGAGGCAACTTAGTTTAAGAGTATGGGGGGAAAGAAAGAGTCCCCACTGAATAGCTATCATCTTGTCTAGATGGGTCTGGTGAAAGGAGATGGGGATAAAATTCATAAGATTCAACCGTGAATAACTGTTATCATGACTAATTGTGACTGTCACAATTGTAAAGGTAGACATTTTGTATCAAAAAAAGGGGAGCGGTTAATCTTACAGTCCAGAAACAGAGGACCCTAGGACCATCAAGAGAGGAACACACAGAATGCGGGACCTTATCCAGAGAAGCAGTAGCACCAGCAATGGAGGCAGAGATGGGGCCATGGAGAGGGGAAGCGGCTGAGGACTCTAGATTCATCAACTAAGAAGAGTAGGACTGAGAACTGGTGGCCAGGAGCATACTTGCAGAATGTACCCTTTGGAGATGTAAATTATCGTCTGTAAATAAGTTTCATCTCTTATTATAGAGCATTTGAGATCAGGAGGAATATCTATATTTTCATAGCTTAAAAATTGTTTTTTTCTCATTGAAGAATGTGGAACTATAGAAAAGAACACCTAAAAGCTTTCTATTACAGTTGATTTTTTGAGGAGACTTCTTTTGTGCTTAAATTACAAGGACTGGATTAGCCAACCGTTCGTTTAATTAAAAACTAAACAAATTTTAGCTTTGTGTATAAGAAAAAAAATCTGGCTGAATTATCCTACTTAAAATAATGTTTCCTATTTTTTATCTAATGGATTTTTATTATTAAAGCTATCCTAACTAGGACCTTTCTCAAAGCAATTGATATTATTTGGTGATCAGTCCATAAAACAACTTAGAAACAGGATGTCATCTTAAAGTTATGCATAAGTACTTGGAAAAGAGAAAATGTATAGCTATATGTGATCTCTCTAAATGACAGTTTAGCACTACATGAAAACAAATAGGTATTTGCAGCATACATTTGTTGGTTTTGTTAAGTGTGGTCATGTCGTTTCCAACTCATAACGACCCAGTATAGGGTTTCTGAGGAACAGCTGATGGATTTGAATTGCTGACCTAGTGGTTTTCAGTCCATTGCTAATCCTACAGCACTACACCAGCAGTCCAAAGTATATAGTGTTGTTGTTGTTATGTTCCGTTGAGTAGATTCTAACCCATTGCGACCCTGTGTAGGGTTTCTAAGGAGCAGCTGGTGAGCTTGAACCACCAACCTTGTAGTTCAAATGACTGCAGTCTTACACATTAACCCACAGTGCTGTACCAGAATCCACAGAATACATTGTTGTTGTTAAGTGCCTTTGAGTCGAATCTGACTCATAGCGAC